CCACATACATAGTCACCAGCACAACCAAGACAAGCAGTTTAGTCACTCCTCAAAGTTCCAGGTCCCTTTGTAGTGTGTGCCTAATCTCTAGCCCCTAGCAACCCGTGGTCAGTTTTCTTCAATCGCTGGTTGTGCCTGGCTTTGGCATCTGGCTTCGTTTACTTATTCCAGTGCATTTTCAGATGTATCTGTGCTATTACTTGTTCGTAGTTTAGTTTTTATCAAGTGGTGTTTCGTGCATGAACATACCATGTTTTATCCATACCTTAGTTGAGGTCATTGGCTTGTGTCCGGTTTTCAGTGATTACAGAGCTGCTCTGAGCACTGATAATCCAGATTTTCGTGTAGTCCTTCGTTTTCGTTTTTCTTGGTCTGTAAGTCTTCTCGTTACCCTGACAAAAATAGCTTATAAAAGCAATTTAAGGAAGAATGAACTTGTTTTGACTTAGTTTGAGGGGATAGTGGGGAGGCAAAAGTGGCTCCTCACATTGTTCCACAGTCAGGAATCAGAGAGATAAAAGTTCAGCCCACGCTGTCCTTTCCCCATGGGGTGGTGCCACCCACCTTCAGGATGGGTCTTGCCTTCCTTCCCCAGCTAAACCACTGAAGACAGACACGTCCAGAGGTGTGTTTCCTAGGAGAGCCCACATTCAGTCCAGTAGACAGTGAAGACCGGATGGTACAGATTGAAGCTCACCAGTGGGGCGCTGAGCAGCATGGGAGCTTGAGCTGTCCTGTGACCACTAGGTACCACCTTCTTCCCTTTCATTTTAGTCATTTGAATAGTATGTAGAGCATGGTGATTTTATGGTAATGACCTTCACACCTGTTGCTTAAGCTCCTTGCCTAAGCTCTAGTAATTTATAATTATTCAGTTGTCTTTATTTTGTACAAATAGCATCAAACACGCACTGTAACTTTTTAAAAACTTTGCAGTTTGTGAGATTCATAGCAGCTGGGAATGTGGCTCAGTATAGTCTAGCTGTCATAGTTTGAGGTGCAGCTTGTAGGACTCTGCTAACCTGATAGGTACACTTCAGGCAGTTCATCCAGGTTGAGTCACCTTCCCTTTAATAATTTAATTTATTATTTGCTTTTATGTGTATGAGTGTTTTGTCTGCAGGTATGTAATTGTGCCTGTGCATGCAAATGCCCATGGAGGCCAGATGAGGGAATCCCCTTGAGTCTGAGTTATAGGCATTTGTGACCTGTCTGACTAGGGTGGTGGAGATTGAACTCAGGTACTCTGCAAAAGTAGTACAAACTTTTGACTGCTGAGCCATCTCCCTTTATTTATCTGTTAGTACTGGGTATCAACCCAGGGCCTTGTGCATAGTAAGAGCTTGTTCTACCGTTGGACTGCACTCCTGTCTTTGTGTTTAAAAAGAAGACAACTCTACATATTTACTTGGTGCCTGTGTGTTAGGATTAATTTTGTGACTTATTTTGCCATTTAGAGTCCTCTGTTGGTTTTGTTATTTTTAATAGGGTAGCTGTATAATCCTGGCTAACCTGGGGTCCTTGTATAGACAAGGCTTGCCTTTGCCTCCCAAGGGCTGGAATTACAGGCGTGCCCTGCATGCCTGCCTCTTCTTTTTTGGGGTGTGTGTGGTGTATATTCTCAGTGAATGTACATGTTTGGGTGTGAGTACTTGTATGTGCATGTGTGGTCAGAGGTCAGTGTTGGCTGTCTTCTCAGCTACTCTCCACCTTGTTTTTTCTTTCACTGAATCTGGAGCCCCTTGGTTCATCTAGACTGCCCAGGTCTGCTTCTGTCCCCTCATTCAGCTCTGGGGTTACACATGTGGGAACTTGGGTCCTTGTGCTTATGGGGCATGCATTTTTGCCCTTTGAACTATCTGATCCCAGCCCCTTATGTTCTTTGGTTTTATTTTTAAATGTTTACTAAAGCCTGCATTTGTTGTATTTATTGAATACATTCTTTGTTATAGTTCTTTCCATTACACCACTTACTTAGTTTAGTGTAGAGACAGACAGTAATCGTAATGTGGTCATTAGTAAGCACTGTAAAGTTGATGCTGTTGGCTCTAAGTATTTTGTTGAATACAGGCCCTTTGACAGGGAAAAGAAGCAACAAATGAATACTTAATGCATATTCTTTTATCATCATTCTGTCATTTGTAGAATCCTGTGCTGCTACCATAATAAGTATCCATTTGGCTGACACTGTGATGCTCCCCAAGTGCCTGCAGATCTGCTCTCGGAGTGGAGTGTCCCTTTACTCACCTATACATCAGAAATGGAAAGGGAAAGGATGCCCTTCATTTTCAGTAGTGTTAGGAAGACGAAATGAATATATTTAAAATATTTTATTATTATTACTTTTTATGTGTATCCGCGTATCGCCTGCATGTAGGTAAGTGCACTTGTGTCTTGCAATGCCCGCGGAGGACAGAAGAGGCTGTTGGATCTCCTGGAACTGGAGTTACGGACAGTTGTTAGCTGCCATTTGGGTGCTGGGATTTGAACCAGGGTTTTCTGCAAGAACAACCAGTGTTCTTAACCTTAACCGCTGAGCCATCACTCCAGCCCCAAAATGAATATATTTAATATCCACTTGGGACGTTGTGGTTTGTACATACCTGTGTAACATGTTTGATATGTCTTTTCTGTATACACAAACCGTGTTTATTTCTATTTGTGTGAGTATACAGTGTATTTAATACAAGAGCTGGGGTTGGCAAACATCTTTTGAAAATGGTCAGAGCGTAAAGTAAATGCCTTTAATTTGTCCAGCTCTTCAATTTGCAGATAGAGCTGTGCTCCAATGAAACACTGTTTACAAAAACAGAAGTGGGCCATGTTTCTAGCCTGTGCTTTTTATGCCTACTTTTTGTGTGTTGAAACTATGTTCATCTTTCTTCAGTTATAGAAATATTGTAGTTACATATCTTTCAGTTATAAAAATATTGTAGTTACTGGTTGGTTTCTTTCAAATTACCTTTTGGAAAGTAGTTCTCACTTGAAATTATAAACCAGTGAATGGCTGCACAGGGCCTCACAACTGAGTGAGGAAGTGTGCAGGGAACCACAAGGCTGACACTTGGTCCATCAACGGACAGCAGTTGTTGCTGATTACCATCTACACAGACTACCTGTGAATGTTTTCCTTTGTCTGACTTTAATATGAGAGTGGTAAATTTTTGAACTCTGGACTATCTGATCATCTTACATAAGAGACTTGAGAAGGTAGATGACAAAACCTGGCGTAGGCAAGGTTAAAATGGTACTGCTGCTGTTGTGAGCCCTGCCAGCGGCATTCCACCCCTAAGAGAAAGCAGTTATTTTCATCTTCAAAGGGCAAAGAGGAGCTAACAGTTTGAAAAGAAGCTTACCCTGTTGATAGGATACATTGCAAATTCCTTGGTCTGAACACAAAGTTGGCTGGCTTTCAAAGGCTTCCTTTTGGTTGCATAATTTGGAAATCAGTGTGTCTCAAAATGTGCTGTGTACTAAGTTGATGGGCATTCCAAAAGGTGGGTCCTCCCATTTTACTAATGATGTTAGAATGTTCTAAAATCAAGAAGACAGTTTTTATTGTAAAATAATATTCTTATTAGTCTGAGGAAGATTTCTTTCCTTTTAAAAGAAATATCTTTGTTGTTTGCCATTTCTTGTTGACTTGTGAGAGCATTACTATACTGGGCCATACGTCACATGGGCGTTGTGATTCTGGCAGTGTTTTGGGGATTGTTACTTTAAAATTTTAAGAGTATTCCCAGTGTTGGTAGTTTTTATGACACAAATTTATTTTCAACTTGCTCCTCCTTGTAGCAGTGTGTGTGTGTGTGTGTGTGTGTGTGTGTGTGTGTGTGTGTGTAGGGGGACACGCTATATAACATTGCCTATTTGTACCTGAGTGTATTGCTTCAGGGTTTAAAATTCTGTTCCAAGTATATTCTCCACTAACCTTTGAGAAGACAATTTTGATTATGATTGTTTGAATTTCATCTGGAATTATTTCATGTTTAAACATTTGTACCTCTCCCTATCCTATACTGTCCTCCTTAGTTTTTTGTTTTGAGGCACAGTCTCATGTACCAAGACTGTTCTTGAAGTCATGATTCTGTTGTCATTGCCTCTGAAGTACTGGGATTGTGGACTGGGCTACATCTGCCTTAATTTTGTAGACCATTTTTGAGTTTGCGCAAACAAGCTTAACTGCAGGGGTGGAGGAGGTATGGCTCCAGGATCAGTACTTGCCTAGCAGACCCATGGCCCAGAATTTGCTTCCCTTCTCCCCCCTCACACAATAAAAACAAAAAATGTCATCATACTCATCAAAAGTACCTAAATAAAGTCAGGTGTGGTGGCAGATACCTGTAACTCAAGCACTTAGGAGCTTGAGGTAGGAGGATGGCAAGTTTGAGGCCAACCTGGACTACACAGCTAGACCCTGTCTGGAAAACAACAACAACAAAAAGTTTGTAAGTTAGAAAATTAGCACACATGAAGCATATTGTTGAGTGGTGCTATCAGAGAATGCTTCAGGTGGTGCAGGAAGGTGAATCGGGGATCAAGACCAGGCTGGCAAAATGGCCTAGTGTATACATAAAGTGCTTGCAGTGCAAGCCTCCCAGAGTCTTTCAATCCCCAGAAACCAAAGAAAGATGGAAGGAGAGAAACAGCTCCACAAAGTTGTTATCTGACCTCCATGTGCATGCTCGTAATAATACTCCCCAACCAACAAAACAAAAGCCCACAAATAAATGGTCGATTTCTTTACATTCACAGATTAACTGAAATATTTATAAAGCTGGTATTTATTATTGTATTTGTTTACTGAAATAAATTTAATGTTGGTTTATTCTGGGGAAATTCTTTTGGCAGAGCAAAGTGTTCACGAAAGGGTCCTGTTTCTGACAACGGGTTGATTGATAGATTTGGAATGCATTAGGAAATGTCCTAATCACTGATGTAATGCCAGTGGGTTAGGGAACAAAAACTGATGTCTTTTTGTTTCTGTTTCAATTATACAGCAGATATAATTTCTACAGTAGAATTTAACCATTCTGGAGAATTGCTAGCAACAGGGGACAAAGGTGGGAGAGTTGTCATCTTTCAGCAGGAGCAGGAGGTAAGTGCTTCACAGCGTCTCTTCAGTGTGTCCTTACTGCCCTGGAGAAATTTACCAGAGGATGTTGATACTTTTAAAAAGAAGTGCCCTTGAGTAGAACATTCAGTATGTAGATAGCTCTGGTGTTTCTTACTGTCTGGGTGTACATATGCCTGAATTGTGCTGATTTGAAAATGCATTTTAATTGTAAAAGCTTTCGGTTAGAGAAGAGATTGTGAAGTAGTTGGTTAATCCAAGATTTTCACCAAATTTGAACCTTTACCCTCAGTGCTAAGTTTTCTCTTAAACTCCATGAAGTGTTTTGACCTCCTTACATAAAGCTTAGTTGCTTTATGTAATAGAGGGTAGAGACTGACTGAAAGAAATCAGCTCAGCTATTCAGAGATCAGTCCACACTGAGACTGTTACTGGGACTTACATGTAAAGGTTTAAGTATCACTTGCACATACATAGTTGTGTGTAATTTATAAACAGTGCCAGTATCTTCACATAAGTAAACTGAACATTGTTGTTCCCTTTCCTCTTAAAGAAAAGTTTTATTGCAGAATTTATGATTAAGTACATTTTAGCTTTGTTTTTCTTACAACTTGGGCACACTTGTAATCTGAGTGACAGGATTTTTCACAAAAATTTTGTACCTAACACAATTAGTCACAGTGGATTTTCTTTCTTTTTTTTTTTTTTTCTTCTTCTTTTCACCCGTGCTTATTCCCTTCATGTATAGGCCAAGGTTGAACCTTTGAAACATCTGTTCTTGTCAGTCTGGAACATACTCAGAGTTTAACGTGGATAAATTACAGGATTTTACAAATAAATGTCTAAGTCATAACACAGAGTTAGGTTTTAAAGGATTGTGAAATTCCTTAAATAAGCAAAGAATCTAGTAATAATACTACTACTTTGCACTTCTATAGCGCCTTTGACCTGAGGATCTCAAAGTGCTTTAGAAACACTAATGAATTAATCCTCACAACACCTCAGTGAGGTAGGTAATCTAATTTTAAAAGAAATGATTAATAGTGTCTGAATAAGAAGATGCACAAACACTAAATATGTCTCCTTTTATTTATTTTTAAATTTAGTTTTTGTTGTTGTTTTTTTTTTTTTTTTTTTGTTTTTTGGTTTTGTGCTGAAATGTGAATGAACCATGGTTGTTTTTTGTTTGTTGTTTTAGGAT